GCCGGCTGTAGTCAGAGCAGCACGGCGGCGGTGGGGCAGGCCTGCAGGTCAGGGTCTGGAGCAGACAGGTAGGGAAGGTCCTCAGATTTGGAAACACCTTCTCAAAGGTGATGTAAAAATCAGAGTCACACCAGAAGTGAGGGTGCAGACACCTCGTTGTGCGAGCTGTGGGGACCAGTTAGCTGGGAGCACTCCTACAGCCCTTCCTTGCTGCGTCCTGGTAAGCTGAACCCTCCCCAGTAGCTGCGCTCCCGCTGCGTCACCGAGGACATACTGTCTTATTCTTGACGTTATTTGTGATGCTGCAGAGGATACAGTGGGACAGACTGTAAGATTTTGAACATGGGAGGTGGAAACAGGTATGTGGAGGTGTGGTAGAGGAACCGGCTGTGCGTCACGCATCCCATCGGTTCCTGACAAAGACCCCGGGCACCCTGCTTTAGAGGAAGGGGTGACTGAGTTTGGCCGGGGCTGCGGTTCTGCAGGCTGCTGAAGTTCAGTCTTCATTAGCTGAAGCTGGGGTTGTTGAGCAGCTGAAGAATTTGACCGCTTCCTTCTGCCTGTCACAAAGTGTAATGGTGGCCACGTTCCCTGTCTGCGTACCAGAAAGACTAAAAATCCAAAGAAGGAATGAAAGCTGCTTGCAGAAGTCTTACGGGGCCTACCTGCCGCCTCCCCAGGCACCTCACGGACTGTAATGCCACCCTGTTGCGGCACCGGTGGAAGCAGCACCCAGCAGCTGCCTTTGGTCCCCTCCTAGGCAGCTTTTCCCTTCAAGCGGATGTCGCCCACGCCTGCAGCTGGGGGTCTGCGCGGTGACGGGGCGGGAGAGTTGGAGGTGCTTGTTGGCACCCGATTCCTCGGGACTCCCCGTATTTGTGAGCTATGGTGCGCAACTGGGTAGGGCAAGGTCAAGGAGTATTTTGCTAGTCTGGAGTAGAAGCTAAAGTAAGTAAATCTGGGGAGGGATTGTATTCCTCTCCTTTGCCATTCCTGAACTAAGACCCCTCATACGGTGCTGTCCTTCAGCAGTGCTAGCTTGTAGCCAGGATCTTCCAGGAGAGGGTTTAAGTCAAGGTTCTCACTCTGATTTAGTAAAATTTCCACAACCTGACTGACACCGATGTCCTGTTTTGGTTTCTGGGTTGAGAAGCCGGCATTCTGCTTAGTTTGTGTCCACCTTTCGTGTTGATGCAGTGCATGGTTCCTTTCCTGCCCATCACTGGCCTCGTTTGGCCGAGCACTGGAGACCCGCTGCAGCCCATCTGTGCCGGAGGAGCGCTGCTCAAACAGGGCTTCTCGTGGGGCCCGGTCAGCTTTTGCACGCTGCGCGCTCTCCATGGGCCCTTCCTCTTCACGGCCTTTCCATCTGCTCTTCCCTGGCAGGACTGGAAGGACCACCAGCACATCTGCGGCCAGTCGGCCACGGTGACGGTGCAAGCCGACGAGGTGCACGTCACGGACAGCGTGATGGAGAAGGTCACCGTCTGAGCACACCTACCTCTCTGACCGTTCATGGGCGACGTGGGGCGGCCGGCTGGATCGGCAGCCCGGCCTGAGCGGCCTGTTCTTTGCAAACCACACTCTTCTCACTAGCGGACTCATTTTTGAAAGGCTTTTTGATACTGTGACAGCATTTGCGTACTCCTCTTCCGAAACTTTGAATAACAGAGACTGTGAAAACCTCATCTGGAGCAAACCAACCCCACCCAACCTCAGCCTGGCCGCTGGGAGCCGCCTCCGGCTGACGGGAGCTTTGGCTTTGCCAGGCTGGAACCTCCACCATGTGGATTACAGCGATCTCATCATCTCTCTTGAGATGGGTCTAAAGCAGGTGCTGCAATGAGATTTGCGATGTTTCCTTCTCCCCGTGCCTCCCTACCTCTTGTTTGAAGACAGAAACAAACCTTAATTTGGTTTATTTAATTGCCTTGAAAGAGTCAGTACAAGTTCTGAAGTTTGCCATCAAAGGACTTCTTTTTTTCCAGTGTTCCCTCTGTGCTGGGCAAATCTGGAGCACACTGGAGCTTCTGCACTTGAATGAAAGCGAAAAAATAACATGTTATTAAATAAAATGCGGTGAAAGCACGAGCGTGCCCGGCGGTCCTGTGTCATTCCCGGGGCAGCACCTGGACGCGCGGCTGGACGAAGCAAGG